CGTGGACAAATGCTTTCTGCCAGTGGACAGGATGCTTTTGGCTATCATCTTGTTGGAGGCCAATGGGTTAATGACTTGAAGACAAAACAATGAAAACAATGATTCTGCATATGTAATGAAAGGTAACATTTAGAAAAGCAGAAATTTGTGAACTTTAAAAATTAAGGATTACTCCTTACCTGAAAGGTGAGTTTCAAAAGTATAATTGCTTACAGCACAGTTCAGAAGTGTCAATACAAAATGCATGACGGAGCAGTGATGCTATTCCCACTAGAGACATAAACACTGCCTCAGTTTATAACCTGGAAGTCACTGATCAAGTAGAGAGCAGCAAGATGAAACCCCTCGGTGCCAGCCTCTCCCCGTGTTGGGGAGGATGCTGCTGTCCCTGAACATCATTTACATACCTGCACTTCCCCTAACTCTCTTCTAAGGAAATTGCCAGAGGATTCTCTGAGCACCCTGGACTCTTCATTAAACACCAACGGTCAACAGCCAACAACCCCCACCACAATCCTTCACCATGCCTGCATCCCGGGATCAACTGCTACTCCTGCTTCACCAGGGGCAAAAAAACAGGCCTAGAGCGAGACATTTCACAAAACAGAAATACATGTCCCCACTGTCACAGCAGAATGAGATCCATGTATGAGAGGAAACACTTGATACCACATCTAACGTCACCTTCATCACCAGAGATGGTCTTCGCCATCGCCTAAGCACTGCCCCTCACCACCAGCCTCAGAGGGAAAGGAGTCCTGAAGGTGCTTATCTGGGGACAGGTTTAGGAATTTCTAACCTTACCGTACTGCAGTGGAGCAGCAGGAGAGACCCAGACCCCCAGGTGAGCGAGGCAGGAGACCAGACCCGCCTGCAAAGCAGATAGCACCTAGCAGCCTGCCACGCTGAGTAGAGGCACAGCAGCTGGCCTAAGGGTGCTGGCAAGAACACAAAACTCATTTCCAGTTTCCAGAACTTGGCAAAGGTCCACCAAGAAAACTGAGAAGTGTACACTAGGGTGTGTAAGACACAAAGAGAGCACCTACTCCCTATACTCTGCACCCCAGAAGAAAGTAGTGGGATGAAGAGGGACAAGCAGGGGACACTGCTGTACCCAAAGCAGATCTAAAACACCTCTCTGCCTTACAATTAGTCCCAGCAGTTAACAAATCTGAGGAAATCCTGGAACTGGAACCATACTGCACCGAGAGCAAATTTCCTCTGTGCTCCGGTACTGACCTCCAGTAACTAGGGATAATGAGCAAAATCTTGGCTCATTAAGTACTTACATTTTCTTTGGCTGTCATTTGGAATTCTGCTTCTTAATCCTAACTTGTCCAACATTTAAAAAATGCTTTTCATAGTACTGAGAATCCATAATGATCAGGTACCCCTTAGGAACCTTTACATGCATTTTCCCCACCACAGGCATGGTTTTAAAGTTCATGTAACCATAACTAAGAGTTATAATGGGTTGGAAAATGCAGGCACTGGGCTAGATTTGAGAGACCTGCATCCCCAGCCTGGGCATCTTCCTTTCAAACATGAGTCCAGGGCCTTTTCACAAAACAGGGCATTTCTAAGACAAATTTTAGTATTTAGGAGCACAGTAATGTTTTGTTTTGTTTTTCTAACCTAAAAGCAAAACAAGTGTCATGATCTTTCTCAGTAGAGTAGCTGCCAGAAATATTTGAAAACACTCCAGAATGATTAACCCAGAATCAAATTTCAGAGCCATGGAAGAGAGCCACAGAACAGAGTACATCACCCAGCCTTGTTCGAATAATGTGTCTATTACCCGTGAATCTGGGTGCTGTTGGTTTAGGTTATTAATGACCTTTTTTATGGCTACAGCTTAAAAAGAACCCTTTAACTTAGAAGTTATTCATATATCTCTTAAATTATTAATTATGTTTAAATTACAGCATTTCTGAACAAATGAAGCACAGATATAAAAGCTACTTTGGGATTTCCACCAATGTAATATAAAATTGTCTAAAAAAGGATTTCACTTATTCATGCTTAAAACCTTTCTTGGTTGTTTTTTTTTTTCCCCCTGTAGGGGTTGTTCTTTTGTTTTGTTTTTGTTTTTTTTAATTTAATGAGGTGCTGGTATCTGTCTACAATCCCAGGAAGAAAAGGTAGGAGAATCATGAATTTGAGACCACCCCAGGCAACTAAGACCTTGTCTCAAAAACAAAAAATAAGTAAAAATTTTAAAAGGGTCAAGGACGTAACTCAGGTAGAGCAACCCTGAGTTGCATCTCCAGTACTACACACACACATAGAAAAAAAATTTACAAAGAAAATATAATAAAAGATTATAGACAACATATACATTTGTTATCATCAAATTCACAAAATCATACAAGAACACAGTTCATCAAGAATCTTCTGACTTTAATAGGCAGTGGTTTTGGAAAGCTGGACCTTACTGACCCTGCTTTGTGTGTGTGATCCAACAACTCGCTGTGCTGGAAGGCGGCAAGCTTCCAGCTGCCTGACAACAGCTTGCCCCAAGGGTCTCCGTGGACTCAACCCCTTTAACCCAACTGGTTTCTGCGGACTCTGAACCGTAAACTGGCAGGGTGTTTCCTGGGTTCCAGATGGCAATGGACACCCAGCGAGCCCCAGAGGCACCATGTTGAGCACACACACACCCAGGCAGCTTGGCACCCTGGAGCAGCAAATGAATTCAGGCCTGCAAATCCCCCTCATAGGGCAGCCTGGAGTCCACACCCCAGCTTGAGGCCAGAAGCTGGCATACTACCACATGATAAGGTGCCTCACTCCATTAAACGGCACTGAGTCCAAGGATAAAGGAGAATGGGGAAAGGGCCAGGTGTTAAAGCACATGCCTGTAATGCCAGCCCTGAGGTGGTAAGATCAAAATCCCAAGTTCAGCCTGAGCAACTTAGCCAGACCCTATCTAAATAAAGTTAAAATAAAGTAAAATAAAATAGAAGTGGAGATGTAGCTCAGTATAAAGGTCCTGGGTTCAATTCCCAGGAGGGAAGGAAGAAAGGAGGAAAGGAGGGAGGGAGGGAGGGAGGGAGGGAGGGAGGGAATAGAAAGCCCAAAGCTCTGAGTGCAGAGAATGCTGCTGAGGCAGGCACACAGCCTCCAACTCCACTTGCTGGGCATCCAGGACAGGTTGAGTGAGGGGCAAAGAACACCAATTCCTACACAAAGTCAGCTCAGCATGGTGGCACAGCTGGAGTTAACAGCTCCATTCCTATGACCAAGTGCTACCAGCAAGCATCTCTATTGGAAGGAAAGGACTGCGCTTCCATCTGGATAAGAAGAAAGGCCAGGGTGAAAAGCTCACTCAGATAAGCAGGGATGAGCTTTAGTGGGTAGGTGATTGTTGTCTTCTGTAGAAGCGTTTGCATACCCCAATTTTCAGAATTGTTCTTTCTTTGCTTCTTTTTGGGGGCTGTAAGGGATAATGGGGTGGAACCCAGGGCCTTGCCATGCTAAGCAGGTGGTCTGCCAACAAGCACCAGGAGTTGTGCTGTTTCATTATAAGAAATCACACAGACAGCGGGAAGGAAGGCAGCAAGGGAGGAGCAGGAAGAAAAGAGAAGGGCAACATACATTTCTCCTTTTCTGACATCATGACAGAGAAAGCACCCAAAGGAACTCACAGTCTCAGCAGTTGCTCTGTGCATGGACCTGAACACACAGCACACTGACTGCAGTCTAAGATGCCTCAGCCCTGAGAGCTATCCTACACCTTGCTAACTAAAAAGCCTAAAAAGGTAAAGTGACACCAAGAAAAACAGCATGAAATCATGTACAACTAGGAAAGAGCTTTATTTTTTGATATGCTATGTTCCCAGCCCAGGACAGCTACATGGTACAAACTCCACCATGGCGAGTGCTAAAGAATCAGATATCCCTGAACTTACACAATATGTGTGGCTAGCTTTCTGCTTTGTTTTGTTTTGCTCTGCTTTACTTTGATTTCCTTGAGATTTCAAGAAAATATGTGCGACTTCTGCCAATGCCAAGAGACAAGATGATGCAGCCAGCTCAGAGCACACACAGTGAAGGGACGGGGGAGGCACATAGACCAGGGACCAGAGTGGGAAGGGATCACAGTGCCAGAAGATTTCGCCATCTTTCCAGCCTCCTGAGGTCACCTGGCTTCTGGGACACTCTGAGCTTCACAGTGACACTCATGAGAATGCAGATGAACCGGCAGTGACAGAGCTGTCCAAGCCTTCCTGTGGTTTCAGTTCAAGTCAGTCACAAAGGTGTGGCCCCCGCACTCCTGCCCACAACTCTTCCCCCTCATAGAAATAAAGAATCTGCTGATGTCTACATGCAAACACGCTGCTGCAAATTCCTAAAATACTGAGTTATTCCTCCTCATTCTCCTCCTTCTCCTCGTCTTCCTCCTCCTCTCCCCTCCTCTCCCCACAAGACAGAGACAAGGGAATGGAGGGGGGGCTTCAAGGTAACACTGACATGCCAGGGATAGCAACAGTCATGATGCAAAACTTCCAGGCCACACTAAACACAGAGTGTGGTGGGAGGAAGGAATGCCTGCCCAGGTTCAAGCACTCCCGGAAGGACACCTAGGATGTCCCTGCTCGTTTTGTAGCAGGATAATGTTGCATGGCCAGTTGTCAGGATGGGAACCAGAACTTGGGACCCCTGAATATCCTACACTGACACACAGATCTTCCTTATGATGGATGACCGACCTAGGCGTCCAGAAAGATGTTACGATTGATGAAAAGAGGGGGAAAAAATGCCACAGAAAAATTTTTGCAACGTTTTAGTTTTTAAAATTGCAGTTTAAAACTTCCAAAATAGTCTCGAGTTTCCAGAAAGTCATTTTTTCCCTGGTGCTCAGGGTAGTGGAGATTCCTGATGTCTATCAAAGGAAGCACGCTGGAGGGGGTGGTCAGAAAGGAAGGCGCTCCTACCTACCCACCCCTCCCCAGCACTTGGGAACTAATTTCAGAGCAGCTCCCCAGAGCAGAACTCACTCGGTCTTTATCGTCTGCTACATCACAGAGGGTGTCATCCAGGTCTAGTATCCCTCCGTCTCCATGCTCCAAGCGGTGCACCTGTATCCAGTAGCTTGGATCCTAGAGAGAAGAACAGAGACAGTGAGACATCACCAAGGGGAATTGAGTATTTAAACTATGATAGCTTCCTGCCATTAACAGAAACAATCAAGTCAACAATATGGCAACTGTTTCAGAATTCCAACAACTCCCCAAGGTTGGTGTTGACTTCCCGTTACTTTCCCTCGGTTCATATGCAGATACACTATTATGACAAGAACTGCTGAAAGCAAGGAAACTCACTGCATATGAATATGATTTCTCCTAAGTAGATCTAGCTTCGCATGATCCAACAGATGCATCATGGATCAAGCCCCTCAATGCAGTCAAAGTAGGCATATATCATACATCTGAAAAACTTATATTTGCTAATCTGAAAAAGCGTGGGTGGCATACTCCGCTGGCTGAACTGTCCCCTACAGACAGGTCTAGAGATAATGATCACAGAGGCTGTTGACCAGAGTGCAAATGAACAGAGCAGGTGCAGAACCACATGTGTGGCTTACATCCATTTTTAAAAAGGCAAAACTGCATAGACAGATAAACATATCTGAAAAATACACACCCAATGTGCAGTGATTATTGCAATGCTTCAGGAACCTCATTTAAATTTTATATGCCTTTATACAGTAAATACAAAACCATAAAGCCCCATTTCAGATTACTTGAAGAGGGAATGCAGTTGCTTTTGAACTTCCACAGTCTTTCTCATTTACATATCAAAATGGGAGCATCCCACATAATGTGTGCTGTGTCAGCTCCCACCTTCCACCTCTCCTAAATGCTGTAGACTGGGGTTATGATGCACCCACCAGCTGACCAAGGCTTTTTTGATCTGGACACGTGCTCACTGATGCCTGCCAGCTATGCCAAGGGGCCCTGCCACATCATGCCAAGGCTGACACCAGGCTGTGCTCATGAAGTGTCACTCCATGAATGCAGGCAGAATGGAAGTGACTACCCACAAGGGTTGAGGCCGAGGTCACCAGCAACCACAACTGAGAATCAGCTGTCAGCAGGGCGTATAAAAACAGCCTCCACCCACCAGAAGATGAAAACCAGGTGGGGGATGGTTATCTTGGGAAAACATAATTCCTTGGAACCAGTCTCTCAGGAGATTTTAACAGACAGCTTCCACAACACAAGTCTCTCTTAAAAAACAGAGGACTTGCAACTTTTTCAAAAGAATAGGCAAGTATCCAACAGGGGAAAGAAAGGCTGATTCTACTTTGCAGTAGCTTGCATTAAAAAGTTGGAATAATAGGAACCTTTGCTGTCCTGTCAATAGAAACTGAAAAACTTAACAGAACAAAAGTTCAAGGAAAAAAAGTTGCAGTATGCCGCTTTTATATGACAAAAAAAAAGACACTGACTCTGTAATAATTACACTGATTGCTGAAATTAAAAAGTAAGACATAAGAATGGATTTTTATCTTGCCGGGGATATAGATCAGCAGACAGTGTCTATTTGGCAAGCATAAGGTTATGAGTTCAATTTCCAGTACAAAAAAAAAAAAAAAAAATAGATTTTTATACCGAGAACAATCCAAGTGTCTTGTTTATGGTATGCTCATTTAAATAAATAAAGTAAACACTGATAATAAGTCCAGGTGCTGTGGCAGCTACTCAGGAAGGTGAGGCAGAAGGATTTCTTGAGCCCAGTGTTCAGGGCAAACCTGGACAGGACAATAGAGCAACACTCTGTTTCTTAAAAAGTAAGTTAAATAAATATGCACAGTATTTTTATCTGATGACAACCAAAAATCGCTAAGTGAGAAATTAAGTTTATCTACCCAGTGGTTGAAGAAAAAATTACCCATAAGTCAAAGTCCCTGCTAGGCATTTGGGCCCAAGCCACAAGAAAACTCACTGTGTCTTCTTCAGACACAGAACCTGGCTGGGGCCTGGCAGGGGACGGGATGAACTTCTCAGAGGAATCAGGAATGTAAGCAAAGGCCACTTTACCAAGCGCACAGTCAGCCCGATGCAAGACAGACCCCTGTAGCCTTCCAGGAATGTCACTCCACATAGCCTCACCGCACTGCGCCCAGGTGATGAGCTCAGCGAGCTGTGACCAGATACAGAATGGTCCCTGTGTATCTTAGACCTATGCACGCTTGGGGAAAATCATCCGCACCCAGAAACTGCACCCTGCTTACATATGAGCCACAGTGGGCAGCAGTCAAACAGGAATCTACTCATACACATAAGACTGAAAAAATACATCACTGAAATTCTATGCTGATCAAAAGCCTGAGTGTTTCTACGTAAAAAGCCCTAAATAAAGGTAAAGCAACCATCATTGCCTGTTAGCAGTAATTCCAAGTTATCAGATACAGTATGAGCAGGTAATGCAAAAGGATAGACTACATGTGGGAAGAAAACCAGACCCACAAAAGCTTGCGGGTTCAGGGCTAAGGAAGACTGAGTAGGAAAGAGGGCAGGAGTGTTGGCTGAATGGGAGGAGAAGGGGTGAGGAGCAGGAGCAGGAGAACTTGGGAGAGGTGCCCTGAGCAGGCAGGAAGGAGTGGTAGGGCTTGTCAGAAAACTGGACATGAAAACAGGCCAAAAGACGAAAATGGAAAGATGGAAAAAGACATCAAATGGATGCATGTTTATTTAGATCTGCTCATGACACCCCAGTGAAACTTCAGAGTGTGTGTGTGTGTGTGTATGTGTGTGTGTATGTGTGTGCGTGCACGCGTGCCTGCATGCACACGAACCCACCAGGACGCAAGAATCCAGGAAACAAGTCCTACCCAGTTCTTGAAGCTGGGGAACAGATGGCCCAGGGGTAACAAACTCAGCAGCATGAAGAAGGGGACCCCAAAGAAGGCTGTGGTGAAACCCTAAGCAATTAAGCTATCCCAGCAGAGGCCCTGTGACTTGGGTTGGGAGAAGTGAAACCAAGGAGGTCAAAGTGGCTGCAAGTCTGACCCTGCTGTACCTCTCTGTCCCTCCTGCCCCACCCAGGGCAAGGCAGGCAGACCCTGGCAAAGGCTGTGAGGAATGTCCCGTCACACCAGCTGCCAAAGCAGAGGATGGAACTCTTCCAGGCTCTCCAACCATCCAGAAGACAGGCCAAAAAAAGGAAGCCCAGCCAAAGCTTTTTGTGATGCTCAGTTACAAGAAACAACCTCAAAGGGGACCAACAATCAGGACACAGGCTTTAGAAGGAAGCCCCAAGGGTGGACAGGAGCCAAACAAGCAAGAAATCCAAGCTGGAAGGACCAGAGACTTCAAGAGAAGAAACTGATTCCCAAAGGAAGATGACTGGGCACCTAGGCAGAAGGGAGGAGTGAGAGGCTGTCGCTCCGTGGTAGAGAGTCCCTGTGTTGGATTCCCAGTACAAAAGGCAGAAGATTGCAAAAAGAACAATACAGTTAGAAGACCAGTCAAGTAAGTCAAGCAGCAGAAGAGGAACAATCAAAAAATAAAAAACTGGACAACAGTTCATCACCCAGAATGGTGGAAATCCACGCACTGGAAAGGTCACTGACAGAGTCCACCATGCATGCACCATGCACCTGGGAACTCAGAAGACAAACAAAACGGGGAAACAGAGGAAACCCTCGGAAAGTAAGATCCTGTCACTGTGGAGTGATAAACAGGGAGGCAGGCACAGACATCTCAAGAGCACCAAAGACTGAACACCAAAGACAGTGCTCCCAGCCAGCAAAATCCCCAGCGAGCACTCCCAGCCAAGAACTGAGCATTTTATTCAACCACCAGGAAAATGCTAAGGAAGAAAGAACATAGTTTTGCAAATACAGTGTCTCCAAAAAGGTTGCTCCCTCTGCATCTTTCTCAGCAAAAACAAGGAATGAAGCCTGCAGGAGAAGGGCAGGCCTCTGAAAGCAGAAGATAGCAGAGGCAGTGGATGTGACTGGAGAAGCTGGGAAGCTGGCCCAGGATATCAATGTAAACCAAGCCGGAAGGGGTGGGTCGGTCTGCGGCGCCCAGCAAGCCAGCATCCCCAGGGTTGTGCAGACCACTGACCACATCCAGCTGCTGCTCAAACAATGGGCAGGACCTGGGCTGAGTCAAATCAATGCCCCTTTCCAAAGGATCAACCAAAGGAATGCATGGCTCATATCTGTGAGATGCGAAGCTTGTAAAAGAAAATAAAAAGTATTCAAGGCCTCACCCACAGAGCAGTATAAGCAGCTTTTAATCATGTAAAATAATATGATTACTTAAAATCATAACAGTGGAGGAAAGTGATCTACTCACTGTGTGTGTATGTGTGTGTGTGTGTGTGTGTGTGTGTGTGTGTAACAGGGTAAACCTCCCACCTTAAGTCAATTTGTGATGAAAACCAAATTCTCAAAGAAAGAGCACAAGTAATTCATACAGAAAAGTAGCAGCAGATACCAAAAGAATCAGAAGAGAGAATCTCGCTTGGAAAGGGACCGCGCCCTCCGAACCATCCTAGTAGGTAAGAGACTCTGAGCGCAGGTGATGCTGAAAAGCGCACTGAAGAGAAAGCTTAAGAAATGCCTCAGCTTAACACTCAGCATCCACCAATCGTAGTAGCCATGAGGTAATTACTGCATCAAAACAAATGGAATCTTTGTTAATGATTTAACAAATTTTAAAGCAATTCATTTTGCAAGTCAGTAGAAAAGCACAATCCACAAAATTACCTTGCACTTCAATCTAGATTCTACTGTAACCAACTGATTTAAAGAAAAACGTATGTTCTAAAGTTACTTTGTTTGGGCAGTACCATGGATTAAGTCCAGAGTCTTCACCATAGCTATACCCTACCCTACTCTTTTAAATTTTTTCTCTACTTTGAGACAAGGTCTCACCCAAGTCATAAATTGCTCAGGCCTAAACTTAGGATCCTCCTGCTTCACTCTCCTACAACACTGACATGTGCCACCACAGCCAAGTTAAAGGAGTTTTGTTGATATGCCGAGGCAGACATGATCCATGTGATCATTTCAAAAATGTCCTTTTGTATTTTTTTTTTTTTGAGACAAGGTCTCAGATTACAATTGTGTACCATCACCCTG